ACAACAACAACAACAACAACAACAACAACAACAACAACAACAACAACAACAACCAAAACTAACAAAACATTAGGCCTGACTACAAAACAAAAGTTGCCATATATCTATCCTCTGAACATGGATCTCAGAAAAAATGTCAATGTTAAATGTTAACTGTGGGACGTTGCAAACCTTTTTCATCACCACCCCAACCCTTCCGCCCTTTCCATAATGGACTACATATGTCATACTTTGGGTTTTAAAACAATGTGGATAGCCTAGCTGTAGAACAGTAACCACTGCCAATCTTTGTATTATTTTTAGGAACTCCTGGCCGACTCCTACCAGAAGTTGTTATTTTTAAATGTAGGTGTGTGTAAAGCAAGATCTTTTCAGTAGCTTTGTGTTTTAACGCCTGTAAAATGGCAGCTTGCACTGTATGCTTCTCAAGAAGTTGGGATAGTTTCAGAATACAATCAGGTCTACCGGGGTATTAACATAGATTGTAAAGCGCATAGAGCTTGCTGTTGAGAGAGGATTTACGCTATACACTACTATTATTTTGTGCCTCCATTGACACAATTTAAATGATTAACTTATAAGGCGGGCTTCGACCTTGACCCGGCAGGAAGACGGTGATACCGGTAAGCCTACCTGTCCCCATGGTTTTATACACCCCGCATAGTTTCGCGAAATTTAATCATTTTTTGGCATAAATTCTGATTACTTTCCTTTATCATTCTTTGTTGAAATTGACAGAATCGCATCATTTCACATTTTTGGGCTCAGTTTGCATAATTTCGGAATTTTTCTTTCATAAAACGACGGGGACAGGCCTACTCCGTAAAAGTTCTCCGCACATGATGGGAATAGAACTCAGGTCTTCTGCGTGCGACGGTGAAGCGCCTTACCGTTACATCACACATTCCGGTACAAGTTCTTCAAGTTGTCTGGTTATAATATACAGGGTGTTCCTAAAGTCGTGCACCAGTAGGCCTATTAGTCTTTAATTAATTCTTGAGTTCAGCTCTCTCTTCAGCAATAGAACACGCGGTCTCTCTCTCTCTCTCTCTCTCTCTCTCTCTCTCTCTCTCTCTCTCTCTCTCTCTCTG